GTGTGCGCGGGTGTGTCGCCCCGGTGTGTGCGGCCTGTGGGCCCAGGGCGCGGTCGCTGCGCCCACACCGGCTCTTCATCTCTGGGTGCTCCGTGTCCGCAGGCGGGGCTGGCGCCCCCTCGTATTCCGGCATAGCCCGTTGGCCTTCCTGACAGTCGTCGCGGCTGAGTGACGTGTCTGGGATTCGCTGCCGCACTTGGTTACTTTCGCTCGCGTTACATTTTTCCCGTTGACGATCCCACACCTCGCCTTCGCCCGCCCTTTGGTGGGTCGGCCCTGGCGTGCTCTGTGCTCCAGTTGAGCAGAAAGGGAGACGCCACCCCTCCGTCCCTGCTGTGTCGGCCAGGATGCCGCCGGCCCTGGGGCCTTCTTGGCCCTTCTCCAGTTCTGTGCGGGACTTTTTGTGGGGTCTCTGGTCTTTCCTCTTAAGATCGTAATTTATACGCTGATGGCTTGTTTAATTCGGTCCAGGATAGTGATTTTATGCGTCTCAGAAATTTTAACAGCATCGTCGGGTTCTCCTCGATCTGTTACAGGTGGTCATCGGAGACCATGACGGGGTGGTCCTGTGTTTCGGCGTGAAGAAAGGAGCCGCAGTGGTAAGTTCACCTTTCGGCCAGAAGGGAGTTCCCCAAGGGCCACACACTGCTCACCGAGCACTCCCGGGCTTGAAAGCCCTGACGTGTGCAAGGTGGGCTGTGAGAAGCCGTCCGGGGTACGAGACTGCGACAAGCGTCGCTGCTCCTGGAGGAAAGCGCCTTTCAGCGTGAGGCGCCGGTTGGTTTCTCGTGGTGCAGCAAGTCACCTCAGACCCAGGGCCTGAGCCAGCCCCGCTACTGTGCCCGCTCACGCGCTCGTGTGGCTGCGGTCCAGGCGTCGCCCGCCCGCCTGGGTGCCCTCTGCAGCCGGACCCAGGGCCCCGCTGGCGTGGCCGTCGGCAGGGCTCAGGCTGGTGCCCGGCGCAGCCCCCGGCTGCTGTCTGGAAGCCGGGCAGGGCATGGAGCGCGGGCGGGGCGCAGCTACTCGCAGCGTGGCCGTGCGCTCCTCCTGCTGGGGCCGGGTCGCCTGCGGCTGGCTAGGAGTGACACCCCTTTGCCACTCAGTGGCCTGGTCAGGAGGGAGCCTGCAGCGTGCTCACGGCCGTAGGGTGCCAGAGCGTGCATGCCGTAGCAACTCCCTGTTACGTGGGTGACGGAACAGTGAGGGTGGAAGGGACCAGAGACCCGATGTTTCCTTCGTACGTGTGCTTTCGCCTATCTTACTCTGTTGGTAGTCACCGGGGCAAGGGGAAGAAATCGATAGCAAAATAAAATGGAAATCACGGGAACGAACGACATCGGCGTTTCCAGTTAGGTAGACTATAGTGTTGAGTTCTACATTCGTGTTTCCAGTGAGTTCTAGCATCCCTGTTTATTCTTCTAAACCTAATAAAAAGTACAAAGTGGCCAGGAGTGTTAGATATTAAAAGCCTATCAAGGACCCTCCCTGGTGGCGCAGCAGGTTAAAGCCCAGTTCTGCAGGCAGCCGCAGCCGCTTCAGCGCGAGTCGATCCCGGCCCAGGAGGTGACCCCCAGGGCCCAGCAGACCCCTCCTGTCTCCCCGCTGCTCCCCACAGCAGTGTGCTTCGTCGATCTGCCTGTCTGCTCCCCACTCTGCTGGGTCCTCTCACCGCCCCTGCACCCCAGTTCTGTGTGCCTAAATACATAAATCTGTAGCAAAGCAAGCCTGTTAACGACCTTACCCGCGCTGGGCAGTGGCCCTCCCTCCCTGAGGGCAGGGGCTGCGGGCACGCCTGCCCAGTGTGGCAGCGTGGGGCCAGGAGGTGACTTGCTGAAATGCAGGCTTCCTTTCAGTAGTGCTGCGGTTGGCCCGAGAGTCTGCATTTCATAAGTCGGGGTCCCGTCGCTGCCCCTGGGACTCTGCCTGGAGTTGTTGGATTTTAATGATGGTGAAATATACGTGCAGATAGGGAAGTCCCAAGTTTACGAAAGCCAGAGACCCACGGGATAAACTTGACTGGAGGCGTCTCTGCGGGACAGCTGCCCTGGCTGTGAGTGCGGTCGGGACCCCCCGCGCGTCGGTAGCGTGCACACCTGCGCGGGGAGCCCCGCACTCAGTCTCCCCCATGCTTCCGCAGGCCGTGTTCAAGACTTTGCCGGGGCCCAAGGTCGCAAGACTGGAACTCGGAGGGGTCCTGAACACCCCTCAGGAGAAAATCTTCATTGCCGCGGGTTCTGAGATCAGAGGCTTCACCAAGAGAGGGAAGCAGTTCCTCTCCTTCGAAACAAACCTCACCGAGAGCATCAGAGCTATGTGGGTCCCTCGTTGGGCTCTTAGCGCGTCGGGGACGGGTGTGGATGGGCGGGGAGGCAGCCCGGTCTCTCGATGGCGTTCCGGGAAATGAACCTGACGGACGGCGCCTGGCTGGTCAGGAGTTAAATGTGACCTGGCGTCCGTTCGGTCAGTCGGGGCTGCAGTGTTTCCTTCCGAGACTGAGAGCAGCAGCACAGCCCTCTGACTGGCTCGGCTGTGACGTCGTGAAGGCGCAGAGGAAGCCTGGAGGAGGCCCCGGTGCGGGGCGTGCCGGCCTTGAGCCCCTGCCCGCAGGGCGCCGTGTCGGGTCGCGGGCACAGGTGCGAAGCCCGTGTGACACTTGGATGAGGGAGCCGGGGAGGACCTAAGAGTTCATCTGAGCCCCCACAGAGCAGGACCCTTGGAAGCTTAAAAGAATCGAGTCATTACTAGAGCACAGTCACTCTGGGCCGGAAGGAACACGCTCACTTCGGCGGGGCGCGGCGGGGTCTGCGTCGTGTGCCGGCGACGAGAGCGGTATCGCGATGTGGAAGGAAAGGGTCACTAGCACCCTTAGCGGTCAGAGGGCACGTGGACAGTAGGACTCTCTGGCCGGTCTCCTCGGCCGGGGGTGGCGTCCTGGGCTGGCAGCGGGGGTGGGGAGCTGCCCGTCCCCTTCTGGGATGTGTTGCCCGGGTGTCGCGGTCACGGGGGTCCTGGGAAAACAAGGCTCTGGCTTAAAAACTTCAGCCAGACCACGGCCGCCAGACCACGGCCGCCGCCACGCCATTCCCCGCTCCAGTCTTCTCTGGCCACTGGAGCAGCAGGCGTGACTGCGGCACGGTTCTCCGGCTGGTGCGTGAGGACCTCGCTGGGGTGAGCCCCTGGGGAAGGCCCGAATCTCGGGAGGTCGCCGGCCCCGAGTCGGAAGGGCCCTGAGAGCGGCCGAGCCCAGCGCGAGGCAAGGGTCGCCCTCACCCTAGTGACGGGAGTTTGGGGCACTGGGCAGGCTCTTCAGACAGTGACACTGTGTCAGAAATCTGCAGTCCTGGGTGCAGAAGCTGAGAAACCGGTTACCCCCTTTGCTCGCCCCGGGACGGGGACCTGCCGGTGAGAGGGCGCGGCGGGCGTCTTTGCCAGGAAATCTCAACTCCCCTTGCGGAAACGTGAGCGTAAAAATGAGAACATGATGGCTGCGTTTTGTTAAATTTGCCTGAAAACGCCCATTCTCGCTTCTTTTTTCCAAAATAAATCCCAGTGACATTTCTTCCCACTGCCTCACGGTCAGGTCAGCGGGAGCCTGACGGCCGGCCAGGCAGCGGCGCGGGGCCGCTCTTGGGGGCCCGTCAGGGCGCCGCCGGGCCTGTGGGTTGGCTTTTCGGGCTCGCTTTTCGGAAGCTGGGGCCTCGCGATGTCCACTCTCGGGGTCTGAACCCTAACCAGAGGCTAGAAGGCGAGCGGGGGGTGCGGAGCAGCCGCGGCTGAGGTCTCTGCGCCGAGGAAGCGGTGGCGACGGTGCAGACTGCCTCGGCGGGGAGGGGCGCAGGGCCCCTGAGCTCCCTCTAAAGGGGTGTCTTGGGTGTCGATTCGCTGTTCCAGGCACATATCTGGCTCAGACCTGTTTCTCAGCGCAAGTTACATCTATAACCACTACTGTGACTGCAAAGACCAGCATTACTACCTCTCCGGGGACAAGATCAACGACGTGACCTGCCTCCCGGTGGACAGGGTCCCGCGCCTCACGCCCGTGCTGGCTTGCCAGGACAGGGTGCTCAGGGTCTTGCAGGTTGCCGCGTCTCTCTAGCCTCGGGCCTGGCAGGATGAAATGCGATGCGGTAGAGCGCGGTGGCAGGCGGTCACGCGCTTCTGGAAATGCTCTCGAGTCCTTTATCGCGTGTGTTTTTCCCTCGTGAGTGCGAGCACTCTGCACCCTCCCAGCAGGGTCACGCGACCTGCCCTAAATTACAGGCAGTGTAAGGGCGAAAGTGAAAACTCGCAGACGAGAGGCTTTCTCGCCTGAAGAGGCCGCCCCCCCCCCCAGCCCCCCAGGCCTTGGTCAGGCCCCGAGGCCCCGTTCTTAGCCGGCGGCTTTGGGGCTGCCCCGGCCTGCCGGACGCTGCCTGAGTGCCTGGAGCTGGAAGGGACGAGCAGGCAGGAAGTTGCCCCCGGAAAGTCGGTGGCGTTCATTAGCGTCACCTCGAGCGAGCAGCGTGTCTACACTGGCGAGTCTCCAAGTGGAGAGAGTTTTAAGTATTTCTCTCCTCGGTCTTTCATTTTACGTATTTTTCTTTATATAAAAGTGAGTTAATGTTTGCAAGAGGGCTAAGACGTGCGAGCAAAAATGCACGGCCTCGGTTTTCCAGCAGTTTTATTCAGAGTTTCAAAGCGAGCGCGATGTCGCCGTCATCCCGGGAGCTCAGATTCGGGCCGCTCAGTGGGCGTCTTGCTCTCTCCAGGGCTCTGAGGTGCTGTACGAGACCGAAGTCCCCGGCCCGCCGACGGTGCTCATGCCCCACAACGGAGACGGCGGTAATCAGGCCTCTTGGGGTGGCCACGGGGGTGTGCGCAGCCCGGGCACCTGTCTCGGGCGTAGCCACGTCGGGGCTGTGGAAGTGTTAAGTGGAAGTGGCCAGTTACGGAAGGAACGTGAAGGAGAATCGGGGGCATTTGCGTGCCAGGAGCTGATGGGACGCTCCTGAAGTGTGATTTGTCGATTCGCGGGTGGTTAGCCGAGGGGGAGGTGTCTCTCTCAGGGCGGCGAGGCCCCGTGAGTGACGGGCGGGCGGGAGTGAGTCCCCGTCTGGAGACGACATGACCGGGCCCACATTCGTTGGTTTGACCCTGACCAGGCGACTCTGGAGAAGACCTCTGGTTTGGAACGTCAGATGGGAAACTTGGGCTGATTCAGATCACTTCGTCCAGACCGATACACAAGGGCGAAATTCGGAATGAGAAAAAAAGGGGAGGTATGTTCCACGCGCCTGCCCCGCGGTTTCGGCGGGTTTCGCGTCCCCTGAGTTTTGGTCATTCGTATCTCGGGCTGACTTGGCTGTCACAAAGCCACCTCAGATTTGTCCTTTGATCTTGAGTACTGTGGCAGGCGCCGTGAGTGGGAAATCAGTGGACACCTGGGCTGATGCCGTCGGTAACGCTCTGTGCTCAGATTTGTTTTCGAGTGGTGTGGGGAGTTCACTGGATCCGGGCCGCGGTGGGGAACAGTGGGGGGATCGCTGTCTTCTGAGGCCTTCACGCCTTCCTGCGAGAGCCCGCACGCCCGGCTGGGGGAGCTGGCGCGGGGGAGGGGGCAGCGTCCGCGTGTATGCGGGCGCAGAGTTGATCGACTCTGCTGGGGCGTGTGTCCGTGGGGCTGCGGGAGGGGGCGCGGTCGGGACTGCCGCTCCGAGCGTGGGCGTCGCTGTTCTGAGACGGACAGAGGGGAGCTGCTGACGAGGCGTGAGGAAGCGGGGCGGACGGGCGTGGGCCCGAGGGGAGGCACCGGGGCTCTGGGCGGCGTTTGTGGGGCAGGACCCGGCGGGGCTGCGGGGGTCTCCGGTCTCTCACCCCGCTGCGGCGCGGCCTCACGCTCGCCCGACGCCTGCTTTGCTCGCTGTGGGCGGCCCGTGACGTGCCCCCGCTCCTGACAGGAATTCTGTGCATGGACAGCTTTGACATCGTGGGTGATGGGGTCAAGGACTTGCTTGTGGGGCGGGACGACGGCACGGTGGAGGTGTACGGCTTGGATGAGGCCAGCGAGCCTGTTCTGCGCTTCGGCCAGGTGAGCCCGCGGGAAGGTGCCGTGTGCGTCTGTCGCGCGCCGAGCGGCGGAGGCCGCGGCCCACGGACGCCTGC